CCCCCGCAGCGGGGGGAGGAGGAGGGACCGAGGCGCAGGAAGCCGAGCAGGAAGCGAGCCCGGCGGCCGCGTTTTCCTGGGGAAGCGGCGGGCGGAGTGGCGCAGCCGGCGGGGCCCGGGAGCCTCCGCCTCGATGGGGTAAGTACGCGGCGCCGAGAGTCGGGAGGCTCCCCGGAGCGGGGTCCCGGCTCGCCGCCCCGCCTTTGTGTCTGGGGCTCGGGCGAGGGACGGCGCGCCGGGCGGAGCGGCTTAGCGGGGTGGCAGCGAGGGTCCCGCCACCACTCCCTTGTCTGCCGCCGGCCGCCAACTGTCTGCGGAGGGAGAGGAGGATGTGGGGATCCGAGTAAGAGGGAAGACCGGGCCAAGTTGGGAGCGGGCTTGTCTCCTGCCGGCCCCCCGGCACTCGCAGGCCGGCAGCGGCAGGGCGCAGGGCAGGGGCGGCGGAGCGAGCGCGGGCGGGAATGAATGGCCAGCCCGGCGGGGCGTCCTGGGGGGCGCGGAGTCAGCACCCTGTCCTACCTGCCCGGCCCTCCCCGCGTCGCCCCACCCGGCTCCTAGCTTCTGGGCTCGAGCCGCCTGCGCGCACAACTTGGAGGAGCCGCGGAGGGAGGCGCAAGCGGGAGACTCCGAATGGCTCCGGCGACGAGGGTCTGCTATTGTTCCTTTTCTGACTCTAGGGAGGCCTTCGGCGGGCCCAGGGGTGCAGGCCTGCTAATGCTCCTCGCTCTACGTGTCCTTTTCCCCGCCGCAGCTTCGAGGAGGGCGGGGAGGCGGGATGCTGGAGTTCGGGCAGACTCGGGGCAGCTGGGACTTCGGGAGAGGGACGCCTGCCCGCCATCTACCCCAACTCTGCCCAGGTGGGTGGGTACCCTCTCCAACCCACCTTCTCTTCGCTGCCTGCTTGGGCAGGTTTGTGGCCGTGCTTTAGTTTCTGCAGTTTTTAGGGTTCATCTGCTGCCCCCTGGTACACGCTCTCCTTTGCGTTTGGACCTCACACTCCCCTTTTGTGGAGGGGGCGCTCAGAGCCCAGGGAGGCAGCAGACTGGACAGATGGAGACCAGTGTGAAATGGAGGAGTTACAAGTGACCTTCCAGCGGCTGGGGCCTGGGCTATAGGTCCAGGCTTGCGCTGCTCCAAGGAACCCAGGTCAGCGCAACTTTATTTCCAGCGGTCAGGGCATATCTGGGGCTCAAGGCTGCGCACCACGCCCAGCAGCTTCCCGTGGTCTCAGGCGCACAGGTGATTGGGACGGGTCTCCGTTTTCCTTCTGGGAGAGGAGAATACAAAGCTGGCTGGGGTTGGGGAAACGTTGCCAGTTCCCTGGAGAATGTGATCTCAAAACTGTAAGGGCCTGACGGGGAGGAGCTGGTTTGTCCATCAGTCGGACTCAGCAGAAGCTCATCTTAAGAGAGGAGAGCCTCACCTTGTGGTTTGAACGAAGTTGGAGAAGAGCTGGTGTCTCGCAGGGAGGCTGGATTTTGATTGCTCTGGCCCCCACCTGTTCACAGGTGTGGCTGGGAGTTTTATTACTGATGGGTGTAATCTGATCATCTTTTCTTAATGATGCCTAAGCGGTGTCATTTTTTCCCCTTGGGCTTTTGTAAGAGCGTAGACTTTAATGTGAGGAAGTTTATCCAGTTCTTATGATTTTTAACCTAGTGCTTGCATAACATGGATTGGGAGAGGTGGTCCTGTGCTGGGGTATCCGGGTTTTTCCATCTCCATTCATTGAGATGCTTCATTAATTTTTTTTTTATTGCGATTTTATACCTTTATTTGATGGTATCGTTTTTCTGGACAACCACACATGGATGCGGAATGGAACATTCCTTCTTCCTTTGGCCTAGACAGCTTTGTGGAGCCTGGTGTCAATGTGCATATCTGGAGTTCCCATGTCCTCCATGGCAAATTTCCAGATCTCTTTGAGTGCCCAAGGGGCACACCTCTTGAAACCCACTCCGTGGATGCACTCGTGAATGTTGATGCTGTATTCTTTGGTCACCAGCTCGCTGATGGCAGAATGGTCCTTCTTACCACTCTTCTTTGAGGGAGCCATTCTGCCAGGCCCTGGTTGGAAAGGCTTAATGAATTTATTGTAGCATTTACATGCCTTAGACTTGTTTTATGGCTTTTTTGGGGGGCGGGGGGGATGGTGGTGGTGGTTGTAACCCTATTGTGAAAAATCATATTACTGTTTGTGAAATTGAATAGAATGAATGGATGCTGGGCCATGGAGACTCAGTGGGGAATGATAGGAGTGTCCCTGACATTGAAGTGCCGTCTCCAGGCTGCCATTTCCCAAAGCCTCTTTGAGGCAGGTGTGCCTAGCATTACCCACATTTTAAAGGTGAAGAAACTGAGATGCGGAGGTCAAGGAAACTTGGCTTGCAGTTGATGGAATGTGATGGAGGAAATTTGTCTCTCTTCCTTTTTCCTTTCAGAATAAAAATAAGTATGAAATATTTCACATATACATAATAGATACTATTTGTGTTTAAAAGTTGCTAATTTAAAAAAAGTTGCTAATATCTCCATAGTTACTTCATATGTCCCCCAATAAAAGTAAACTGCAACTGAAGTGTTTTATCCATCCCTCCTCTTCCTCCATCCCCAGGTGACCACTAAAGGGATGTTAGTGTAGTTTCCGAACGTCTTTCGGTACTTCGGTATGTTATCTATCCATAAGCACTATCGGTGAGCTTGTGTATTTAGTATTCTACATAAAAGGCATAATTCTATATATATACTGCTTGCATTTTTAAATTTGTCACTATGTTTTGAGGCACATGTAGCTCTTATTTACTTTAGCGGCTACAGAGAATGCCAGTGTATGAATAAATCATAGTATACGAATTCCTTTGCCAAGAGAAAATTAGAATGTTTCCAATTTTTCACTGTTACACTTTTTCTGCTAAGGGCAGTTGAGACCGTTGATCTGTGTTCCCTTTTTTAAACATTAATTTATTTAATTTTTATTTTTTTAGGATAACAATGCTTATTACAAGCATCGGAGACCTGTTTGTTATACAGCGGTCCCATTCATTGCTGGGAGATGGGGTCTAGGTCATGCTGCATTTATTGTTTCATTCCTCAACAAAAATTTAGGGTGTACATAGGGTCTCTCTTGCTTACCTGTTGCATGAAAAAAGTGAATTTGATCCTTTTTTTTTTTTTAGCTCTAAGATTGTTGGATTATTTTGTTTTGTTTTTACAATTTATATTTTCATAAGAAAAGTGCCCTTTAACGATAAAGGTGAAGCATGAGGCAAACTGTGGTGCTGAGTTTGGGATACTTGTTCCAAAGTTTTTTTCTCTGGCATCACTAACAGCGTAACCTCAGCTCACCCACTCCACCTTCTCTTCCTCATTTCCTCAAGCTTGGTGAGATTAAGTAGTTAGAGCAGGAACATGCCTTTGTAAATTCTTACTCAAAGAGTTTATGAAAATGTGTTGACATTTTGCCCGGAATTGTAACCCCTTAATCTGGAAGCAATTTAAGGCATTTAAACACTTCCGCTTCCTCGTTATCCCTTCAAGTTGCCAGGCACATTCCTGCCTCAGCTCTTGGATTTGCTGTCCTACTGTCTAGGCCACTCTTCCCCTAGATCATCTCTGTGGCTCTGTCCCTCAGTCCCCCCCCCCCCCCAGGCTTTACTCAGGTGTCTGTCCCGTCAGCTACCCCTTCCAGCACGCCCTGCCCCTCTTCTGTTTTTTTTCCTCCATGGCACTTAACACCATCTAGCTCGGCATATATTTTGATATTAGTCTCCTTAGAATAGAAGCTCAGCGAAGACAGGAATTTTGTCTCTTGTTCGCTGCTGTATTCCTAGTGCCTAGAACAATGTTGACAAACAGGAGGTACTCAAATGTATGAATGAACGAATATAATGCTCTTTGTGTGTCTTTCTACTTAGAATTTCTTTTAGTACATTTTGGATATCCTCGATGGGGCTGGTGGTTCCACAGCTGTAACTGAGTCCCCCAAGAGGTCGTATTTACAGGTTCCATCAGGATAAGAAACATAACATCTTATAAAGAAATCACTCTTTATCCTTCAAAGTGCTTGTCTATTTTTTTCTGCCAACACTTGCCTCAACCTGAATTCAGAAGATACCATATATAGCACGATGCCTAGAAGCACACCCATCTTTCCTTTTCTCGATAACTTAGCTTTCCAACATTTTAAATGTGGAAGACTGTGTCTCCATTCCACACAGCATCTGCACAGACAGCCCTGCAGTGGTCTCAAGTAACGCCAACCACACTGAATTTCAAAGATTAGAAAGTGTATTTCTCTGAATTGTTTGCAGAGGGTATGCTCATCATGGTGAGGCTTTTTTTGGGGTGGGAAGATGACCTTAATCTGAAGATCCAGAAGCAACCAGTATATAGTAGGGTCCCTAGAAATACTTTAAAAATGGTCACATCATAAAATCCTTAACTAATCTTACTAAAAACATTCGCTGTTCTAGTGTCATGTTTTATTTTGCTAGAAGCCAACTGAATTTTCTCTACTTTGCATGATGCATATAGGAGTTGACAAAACAAACCTAAATATATCAAAGGCCTCTTGAGTATATTTTAAGTGGGTGATAGGGAAAAGGAATCTAGGTTTCTTTTCCCTAGTAACTATATGGGTATATGATACTGATGGTATCCTTAAAAAAAAATCACTAGTGTATAATGGTATACAACCATTGCATCCTTTGTAATAAAATTATATTGAAAGAAATCAGCTTATTATGGACCCAGAGGGTTAAACTTCAAGCTGAAAACTGTAAGCATACAACTATTTATTATCAAGATGCTACATGATTTAGAAATTTCTTCTTTTTGGTTTGTCCCTACCCTTGAGCTGAAAAGTGCAGGTGGTTTAATGAAAGAGAAGGATTGTTAATCAACAGTCAATTTCTCAACTCCAGCCATCTACAGTGAACAAAAAACTAGTCTTCGACATCAGACTCGTTGATGGGTATGAGTAAATTTAGTATTTTTTTTTTTTTTTTTTTAAGATTTATATGAGAGAGAGCATCCCCTTGGGAGTGCACAGGGGCAGAGGGAGAGAGAAACCCAAGCAGGCTCCACACCAAAGGCAGGGCCCAGGTGGGGCTGGATCTCAAGCCCTTGAGATCAGAATC